TCTTTCCCTTTTCCAAGTTTCTTCTTTTGTTTTCTGTTTTGGAACTCTAGTTATAGAGTAGTGACTTTGTTGTGGGTGAGAGATCCCCACTTTTGTATGGATACCCATGTCTAATCTATGATATTTATGAGTTTTTCTTCCATGGTTTGATATTTTGTACTTAATGCTATTGACTTGGTTGAAACTCTAATTGATATGACAATAGAACACATTAATCATAGGGATATGAGAATGTGGTTTGGAACCAAATATCAAATGAGTGAGTTATTCACATTGGGTAATGAATTAACTTGCTTAGGGTTCATGATATGGAACATTAATTCATCTATATATCATTTAGACCATTAGGAGATGGGTGAATCAATTCTCTAGGTAGTGGGTTTAACCTTGGGAGAGACATACCCTAGATGAAGTGCTTGAAATCCCGTTTGGAAGAATAACCCATAGATATTGTAACATCATCAATCATCCATGCGATTCTTGGGGGATCCCGAACCTACAACGCTTTAAATCATTGTTTACAAACCCATTTGTTTTATTTGCTTACTTCCGTTCCGACACACACCATGCATCACCCGTATTTTTACTCGATCATCAATCTAGCTTAGAGATAGACGATAGACTAATACATCCTAGTCCTCGTTTTCGACCCTGGTACTACAACTACCATATACTTGCGGAGAGTGATACGAATCGGGTACTAAATATAAGACTCGGTGCATGTGATCAGTTTTGGTGACTCAAAACTCAACAGATGGAAATTGCAGGATAAGTTATTGGAAAAGTTTTGTCGGTTATTTAATATTTGCAGTATTGGTGAAAAAGTTTTTTTTTGGTATGAAAAGTGAGAGAAGCCACTCTGTTCTAGTTCTGGTGAAATAGTTATTACTGCAGTCGGGCATTAATTTGAGACCCTTTGAGAAATAGCAAGATAAATCAAACTCTCTCTCGGGTTGATGGCCATAACCCTAGATCCGACCAACTAGCAGCCTCCCACCACCGGTTGATCGGAAAACTAACCAAATGTCCTCCCCTACTTCCATTGATACGTGTATATCGAGTATTAAATTTGTATTCGATTCACGTCTTATCGCAAGAGTACAGATCGTCGTAATACAAAGACATCGAACGCAAGGACAGTATGACAGAACTAAGACTGTTGAAACTAAATCAACAAGCAAACAAATATGATGGATGAGGGTATGATGAAGGGGTCAACAAACAATAGAATTATGCACAAGTCGATAAACCAAAAACAATGCAAATACCATAAATCAATAAATAAGTCCAAACATACCCAAATACAATCGAATATCTAACCCAAAGCGATAAGTCTACTCACGGTTCATGGAAAAATATAGCAAAAGAAAAGAAATTCGTGTCAATATCCGATGCAATCTTCACATTCCGACTTTAAAACCTCATCTTTCTTCTTTCCAAAACTCAAAACTCATATCTTTCTCTCACCATATGAGCCTAACTCCCCTAGATGTTTGTGACTTTCTTTTCTAACCTTGTCCGCGCCCTCTAAACCTTTCTTTCAATCTTTGGTTTCTGAAATAATAAAATAAGACTTTTTTTTTTAGACGGGCCAGTCTGGTTTACTTCGAGCCTAGTCCGGATTAGGAATCTAGGCTTCTCTTGATTGCGATTTGACTCGGGTCATCTTTCTTGCAAAACTGATCCAGTCCAAATCTATTTTAGGTTGGTCTGGATCATTTCTTCAGATTTTTTCGCAGGTGCAATCACTACAAAAAAAAAAAATTATATGTAGCGACGGACAATGCAACTGATTCTCATCGCAACAAAATATGTGACGAAAAATATCGTAACCAAATATTACGATGGAAAATGGCGGTTTTGCGACAGATTCACAAAAAAAAAATTTGCCACAGGTTGTCGTTGTTCGTCAGAAACTACGACGGACTTTTGCGGATCATTCCATTAGCAAAATTATGCGACAGAGCGCTGCTTATAGTGACAGAGTTTCCATCGGTATCTTTGTGACGGATAGAGACAGAATATTCCGTTGTTGCCACATTGCGAGGATCGGCGATGCACCGCTGCATCGTATGTGTGATGAATTCAGTGTGTCAAGAGTAGGTAAACACGTGCAACACGTGCTTAACCAATCAGACGCATGCCGTCAAAAATACGTTGCCCTCTTCAAATATATATGAGGACACAACATAGACATTGTAAAGCTAAAGCTGAAAGAAGATCAGATCATCGCCAATTTTCTACCATTTATAATGATTATTACGGTAAATAATAGTGTTTTGGAACAAAATTAGTCATGAAAGAAGAGATAAAGTAGGAGAGAGTATGAGAGAAAAAGAATGTGAGAAGAGATAAATATAAATTTATAATATAAAGGTGTTATGAAAAAACTATAAATGTATTATTTGAAGAAAAAAATTATGAATGGTATGTTCTGATCTTATGTAATATTTTTATATAGTCCGACTAAAAAATATATTTATAAAATTAATTAGAAAAAAAACAAAGAAAATCTATATATATTAAAAGTTGAGTTTCAAGGATTCTGGTGAGACCACCTCAACATCCACATCATCAAGTTTCTCAATTTTTATTGGTCATTTGATATATTCAATTGCTTGCTAAAGCCACATCATATTCCACCTCATTTAAAAGTTGAGTTTGAAGGATTCTGGTGAGGCCACCTCAGCATCCACATCATCAAGTTTCTCAATTTTTATTGGTCATTTGATATATTCAATTGTTTGCTAAAGCCACATCATATTCCATCTCATCATTTTTGTAATTTTGTATTGTACAATTAATATAGAATATGATAAGAAAATAATACTAATTAAAAAAACAACCAAACGACGAGAAAATAATATAAAAAATTATCATAATAGAAACTAATATAATATGATTTTACATTACCATATAATCTAAAAAAAATCTTTATCAAATAAATCCTTTATATTCCATATATATATCTCCCAATATATATTTACCATCTCATCATTTTTGTAATTTTTATTGTACAATTAATATAGAATATGATAAGAAAATAATACTAATTAAAAAAACAACCAAACGCGAGAAAATGATATAAAAATTATCATAATAGAAACTAATATAATATGATTTTACATTACCATATAATCTAAAAACAATTC